CAAAGGCAAAGTCAAACGGACTTTGACTTTTTTTTTGCCGCCTCCAGCACCTGCTTCTGCACATTATGTGCAGTATAAATGTATGCGCTTGTGCAAAAACAAACATCCCCGCCCCCACACTCACATCTATAAGCCTACACACACACACACACATCAAATACACAGGAATGTTAACATAACTGTAACTATAACTATATAACTATTCATTAGTACAGCCTTAAACAGCAATTTCAAAGACCAACATCCATAAGCTGATTTTCTTGTGAGTATAATATTTGTTATAGAAACTTTTTGTGCGCTTTTGCTGATACAACAATGTAAGAATTTTCAGCAAGACCAATGTCTCATGATGCTGTGTCATGTAGTTTCCACTGTGCCGATCACTTTGAACGTAATGATCTCAAACAATTCTGAAATGGTGTGCTGGCTACTAAGACATCGCCGATTTACATGTACATTTTAGGAATGTAATGTTTATCTAGATTTAAAAACGGAATAACAGTCTGAAATTCATCAACACTAGTAGCAAACAGAAGTAAGCAGCACGAAGGCCAGGGATTACACATATTCTGGGCTGCTTGGATACTGCACAATGGAGTCCACAAATGTCTCGTGTAAACAAGATAAAAGCCAAGTCATGTAAAAGTAGAAGAACAAACAGGGAGTGACTGCTGTCCTGGAATGAGTGGGAAGGTCAGTCCACTGCTGCAGAGCACAGAAGGAGATGAGTCACGCCCAGATGGAGCGATGACCAGGTCGCCACAGGGAGGGCAGCGTGAAAAAAATCAGGGAAAGCTGAAGACACGGTGGGCTGCAGCATCTCAGATGAATTGTTAGGGTTTAAGGAGGTGCTTCTGGAGCTGAGCCAGAAGGCGGTTACTGTAACCCCCGATGGGACTAGAGCGTGACTGGAGATACAATTATTTCTAGTTCTTTTACAAGGAACTGAACAAGGTCCCCACCGGGGAGAATAATTAGCAGTACTGGTTTCTAACTTGTTTTAGCGTTCAGTGAATGTTCTGGTAACTAAATGAGAGACGCATTAATGCAAAGTTTGGTGTGAGGCTATCAAAAGCCACCAGGTCACCTTGCTGCCTGGCATACAGTCTGGTTTCTGTGGCTGAGGGGGGGCGGAGAAACGAGAATCTCTTGTCAGTGATCAAATGGTGATCATAAAAACATCATTTAGTGTTTTGATGATGATGAGGGAAAACGTCATCTCTGGCGTCTGCTCCAGTCTCTCAGAAGTTCAGCTGTGATGACTGGGAAGGCCATGGCATGTGCTTTGCATCATTTTCTTGCTCAGCACATTATTCACCAAACACGTGCGCTATGTCGATGGGGGAGCTGTCGTTCTGGGATGATGCTGAGGATTCATCATCCTGTGACGCTCGACAACCAGCCGCCTCTTCTCTGTTTCTTCCCAACACCAATCACGATCATAAACCAGTCCTCTGAGCCTGACTCACTATAAACCAGGCTATATTTTTCACATCATTTGAGGTATCTTTTGGTATATACAAACTACGGATGCAACGGACAAATCATTATCGTTAATTATTCTGCTGAAATTTTGTTTAGTCTATAAAAAGTCAGGAAATTGTGAAAACTAGTTTCCAAAGCCTAAGGTAACATGTTCAAAGATATCAAATGTACAATGATATAAAACAAAGAAATAGAACTGCAGTGATTAGTCGAATCAATCCATTAGTTCTCAACTTAAAATTAATCACTAACAATGTCAATAACTGATTAATCATTTTGAGTCATTCTTTAAAGAAAAGAAAAGGCCAAACTCTCAGCTTGTCAAATGGGAATATTTTCTGTTTTCTATGACAGTAAAGACTCTGGGACTTCTCTCTGACATTTTATGCACAAGGCAACTAATCGATGAATCAAGCAAATGATTGTGTGTTTAACTGATAATAAAAATACTCATTAGTTGCAGCCCTAATAAGAAAAGCAGAAAATCCAATATATATGTATGTATATAATATGTGAATAGCCAAAATGATGAATGTTTTTGCCTAATAAATGACTTTAAATAACTGGTAATTAACAAAAATGTTGTGGATTTATTTTCAGCCAATAATGTGGCACCATTACAAAGCTAATTCTCTGTTAGCACGTCGCACTTCAGTAGAACCAAGTGTGCTACATTTTTACAGTCCTTACCCACTGCATGTCTAACTTCCCCACTATTCACATCCATGACTAGTCTAATATTCTATAGTTTATATTACGTGCACAAGGGCCTAAACTCCTTATGGTCTGCAATAGCACGTCTTTAGCTTTTTTTGAAGGACAGACTTTGTGCTCTTCACGACATACATATACATTATGAGGCGTGTCCCATTCGAAGGACAGAGGGGGATATCAAAATCACCCAAACGCCTCCACTTCTAATACCAGACAGGAAGGAGCTAACCTCACCCCGGATCGTGTGAGATGTGTAACAATTGTGTCAGAATTATTTAGCGTGTGAGGAAATTCTTAATTATTGGTATTTCCATATCGCCTGCCTTACATGGTTCCAATTGTGACCCAAGAGTCAGACTCAATCAAAACATTGAGTAGCTTACTGTGTCGTGTCTATCAGAAAGGCCATCACGGTGCAGGATGACTCAGATATGATCATAAGAGGGGGTTTTTTCTACCGTTCAGCAGAACGCTGGCTGTGTTCTTCGCACTACTTCTTCTTCAAATAAAAGTAGCCTGCATGGTCCCCTGACCATATATTCCACTCTGAGTTTGCTGACATATTGCTCATCATCTTGATTTAAGTGTCTCCTCCCTCCATGTTCAAAACATTGTTCTGGTTTAGGATTCTGAGGGTGAGCGCTCACCCTGAACCTTTGTGCTCCCCCTCCTGCAGCCCCACTGTTCAGCTATCTAGTGGTGTCTGAGATTCCCTATCAGCTGGGTCCTCACCACCCAGGACTAACGGATGCTTCTCAACTGGAATTAATGTTCCCTATCATTCTGTGTTGATTAATTTTGTGTCCCTCTGAGCTTGCTCACCCCTGTACAACAGAACCCCAGGGGTAACACTCCCAGATGCAGCAGGAGAACACTGACATGACTATTTTGACTCCAAACTTAAGATAGTGTGGTACATCAGGCCAAAGACTACAAGGCTTTAGCGTGTTTCTGGTTGTGTGTCCTATGGGGGGCCAGTGGTGATGCCGCTATCAGAGCAGGGTCAGTGGCTGCAGGGCAAAGCAAGTGAATGATCAGCTCTGGTATTCAGATTTTTTTGGAGCTTCGCTGTGGAGCAGAGTGGTGGGTGAGTGTAGTGGTATACTGCCACACAACCACGTCCTTTTTAGGAATATGGAATATGGACACTCAGACATGCAGTGAGATGAGCCGGGGATCAAACAGCCAACCTTCTGATTAGTGAACGACCCGCTCTACCTCTGAGCCACAGCAGTCCAAATTTTGTTATTTGGATTATCATATGTCTTAATAGAGACAGTTCTTACGTTTCGTCCTCGATGTACTTGAGCAGTGCGAGGGCCTTCCTGTGGAGCAGCAGCAGGAACTGCGCCAGATAGGTGCTCCGCAGGGACAGGCCTGGCTTCAGCATGAACACCTGGGTACGACACAGGATGTCAATTAGTAGTCCGGGCTACGGCTCCGCTGGAAACAAAAAAAGGTTGGAATAAACACCCCCCCCGCTCCCTTTGTGCTAACCTTGAGAAAGAAACATATTGCTGTTGTCACGAGAAAAACCTGTAAGCGCAAGTCTGGGAGCACTTTCATGGGAATGGATGATGGGTTGCGACCCTTGGGAATAAATTCGTCTGTTTTGTATCTATGGGCTCTAGGGACTGTACCGGTGAGGTGGGAGCACATCATTCAAGTGTTTGCTGCAGCCAGATACAAGGCCTGGTCGGTGTTCAATAGCACTGTACCTCAAACCAAATATGAAAATGCATCTGTCACTTTCAGCTTATTGTACACAGCAGTAAAAAACAAGGTTAGACATGGTCAGCAAAGGGGAGCCAAAAAACACCAAATTCATTTATATCTTGTATCTCCTGAGGCATGTGCAATATTTTACACTGTTTTTTTGTTTTTTGTTGTCATTTATTATTGTGTCTTGGTGTACCGCTGTACTATTTTGTTGCCACGTATTGTATTTAAGTTGATTACAGCTGTGTTAGCACTGTTGCCCAAGCCAGAGTCTATTATTTTGCATGTTCTTTATTTTTCAAAGCTTAACCCCTTTATAATTATGAGCTGGCTGAGTGACACTCTATACATAATTTGAAAGTAGAAGGCCTTCTGATTATTACTGACTTCATATCAATATGTATACGAAACAGAACAGTATATAAATAGAATTGGCAAAAAGAGTTTAAGAGTGAACTCCAAAGGGTTACTTTCTGGCTTGTGCAATAAAAAGGTGATGCTTGTATATACTCACATCTGTGGAATCAAATGTGCCTCTGCTTGGTGTGGAAGAACATTTTAATCCAAATTCAATTTCAGTTTTAAAGTGAGCCTTTACTGATTGTTTACTTTTTCCTTTACTGATACTGTTATTGTTACCATTTCAGACACAGAACACTGAAGTATTTTACACACAGTTCTACAACATAGGGTATATAGTATTTCAGCATCAGTTAAGACTTGAGAGTGCTGCTTTATTCTTGTTTTTGTTGGTTTTGGATGAGTACATGTTTGGAAGTTTATCGATCTTAATGTAGACGTTAATGTAGACGTTTCATAGAATAGTATGTACGGCTCTTTCTCCCTTTATGGTTATGATTCTCAATGATGATAATCAGAAAGGAAGAATGTTTGCTGTTATGTTTTTTATTATGTTCCTGTTGTTTCAGCTCTGTTAAAAAGGCTTTTTTATTTTGTTTTTCCTTGAAACAACGAAGAATAAATCACCAAGAAGTGTTGCAATATTCTTACCTCATCTATGAAGGACTTCACCAAAGTGTCTTTATGCATCACGTCTTGAAATATATTCCTAAGAAAAGAAAATTGTTATGATATTAGCATTTTGCTTTTTTATTTTTATATAGTGCACATAAAATGTGTTAACACTTCATGTGACCCACAAAGACAACAGATACTGTGTGTGTGCGTGGCTTACAGGTCAGGAGTGAAGGTCTCGTCAGTGTGAATGACTGTGTCGGGGGGAATGTCCTCCTCGCTGTCTGTCTTCCAGAGCGCGCTCAGCTCCGATCGCATGTAGCGCCGCTGGTTGTACGTGTGCTCATGGCACGGCGGCATCTGCTTGACTGTGTTGATGTCGACGTCGATGTGCGTGGTGGGGTAAGGAGAGTAGAGCACCTGGCGGAAGGGTAGGACGAAGCTGCCTGTGGAGTCCTGGGAACAGAAAAGGAGGCAACCCTGGGGTAAACTCACAGCCTGGTCTGATTATTGTTTTATGTGATGTGTAAGAGCATGTTTATATTATTCTGCTCAGTGATGTGGAAAGTCTGTTCCCTCCACCACGCTCTCTGTCCCAATTTAAAGAGCAGACAGCACAGAGCACACAGAGTTTCTATAAGAAGCAACAACAACAAAAAGTTAAATCATTTATTAGAACTTCTGATGCACATATATAATTAAAACAGAATACATAGACAAAGAGCAAACATTGGAGTAGCTCTATCAAAACATCTGATATCCATGTCACATACGTGCAAAGAAGCTTTAATAAATGATTTCACTTTTTGCGAGCGAGAAGCTTCCAGGTTCCTTTTCCGTCGTTTCTCCCTGGACATATTTCTCTTGTTCCCCGCTGCATTTTAAGTTGAAATCTATAAGAAGTTCCTGCAGGGGTTCCACAACACAGCCGACGTGCACCATACTGACTCTCATTCTGTTCTTGTTCACATCAACCATCTGCCTATGTAGCGTTAAGCCCCCTTGCCTCGCACAACAGCACTAGATAACAAAAACTTTTATAAAACTTTGCTGATGTTCACTTAATTCTCAGTTCACTTAACCCCAAGTAATTGTAATGTAGAAAACTGTGAGCAGATTTAAATAAATAAAAACCTCATGACGACAGCACAGAAAGCAGCATGCATTAAAACGGATCGGAATCTTATGCAAAAAAAATCTTACTGCAACAATTTCAGGTCAGAGACGGAAATTGGGTCAGAACAACAAGCCGAGCAACATCAAACAGGCAGAACAACAGAACAATAACCAGGCTCCAATTTCAAATCATGTTTAATGAGAGGGAAGTGGCGGTTACCTTGAGCAGACCCTGAACGAACAGGCCTGTGTCATATTTGAAGGAAGAGTCGGCCTTGCAGAGGCGAGAGCACTTCCTCTCGGCCGGGGTGAGGAAGAGGCAGAGGGTCCGCACGATCTGTGAAGAGACGGTCAGATTTTAACACTCTGGCTGAGAGGCTGTCAGACAATATCTGCTTTTAATTATTTACACGGTGTACAGGTTTGGGCATAACTAAACAAAATACTTAATTGTAATTATTAGCCATTATAAGGGGTCCATGCTGTGTTAGGTTTTTCTTTTTAAAACATACACAGAAAATAAATGGCCTTCTGTTTTCACTTTGACATTCACTGGGCAAAATGTTTCTGCTATAGATCTGGTGTGCAATATAAGCTTTCTTTGCAAGCATGTCCAACCTTCTTTTAATTCCAATCTACGTCCATTTTAGTGGTTTCTCTTCTCTTACAACTTGGGAGGGAACTTTTTGGAAGCAGTTGCAGCAGTAACTGTAACTGTGCTGCCATGCCCAGACAAACATTCAAAATACTGACGCAAGCAGTAACGGAGACTGAAAAAAGTGCACGAAGAGGGCTCATTAAACTCAAAACAACAGCACAACACACTTCAAAAGGTTCTAAATTATGTAAATGCATTACAAATCTGTCTGTGTGCAGCCACTAATCCGGTAAATTTACCTTATTTACTTTCTCTGGGTTGCTTCCAACCACTATTGAACAGCCGCAAGTCTGCAGATGAGAGCTGATGGCCCTGAACCGCAGAGACAAAGACATGCAAATTAGAGCCAATTAGCTTCATTAGCATTGCTCTAATTATTAATGACAGCTTTTAGGAATAATGATTGAGACAGAGGAGCTGGGTCCGAAAAACATTTTACATGAATGAGGAATTAAGATGGTAAATGGCTCTGAGCTAGCTCTGCCTAGTGATCTTTAAATGTACCTTTTTACTCATGTAGTGTGGTTCACGTTCTTTTGATTGATCTTAAGATTTGATGATTTATCACAAAAAATAACTATTTTGCTGGTTACTTTTAAACATGGCCTCAAATATATAATTATTTCTCTGATTAAAAATGTCCATCCACTATAAATATCCTTTAAATTCAAGTAAATTAATTCCAGTTTACAGATGCTCTGTCATCTCCACAGGATGCTGAACTAATCCTGTTCTACTCTGAGCAGTTGGGAGCTTCACTGCTGGAATGGACTTTCCGGACTCTCAACACTAGCAGCAATCTAGCTTTCGTCCTTTCTCTGGAGGAAACTTCGGCTAAGTGGAGAGCCATTACTCATCATCGTAAGGTTGATGGGTGTTAAATGGGCATTGTTCATCATCTGTCTCCATTTGCCTGTACCGGAGTGCTTACTTGTGGAGGAAATCCTCGTGGCAGCTGTCCCCGATGTCATCATCATTTAGCACGGTGTCTTTTATCTACTCAGCAGGAGTGAAACAAATGAGTCATTTTTAAAATTGGTCTCAACAAAGACAAAAGTGCTGACGGGCACATTTGCAGGCACTGTAATGAAAATAAGATGCAAAAAACACCATTGTGTAACAGTGGAGGAAACAGCAAGAAAGATTCTAGGGAGCCTCTTTGTGCTGCTCTTTTTGTTGCATTTGCATATTAGAAAGGAACAAATGTGTTAAATCACACTGGGTGGTAATCAAGGCAGAGAACCTGGATCATTTAAACCCCTTGGAAATAGAGGCAATTTGAACAAGTAACATAATGAAACAACTGAAGTTTAACAACGTTTTTTTTTTTTTTTTTCAAAGAGCCATATGTGATTGTACTCCATAAAGACATCTACTGCTCTTCAGTCGGGCACTGACCACGATGTTAAACATTTTCTAGGTCTTTTGTTGTTCATTGCACAGCTTTGAAGTATGAAAGGATGAAGTAATGTGTGTGTGTGTATGTGTGCGCCGCTCACGTCTATATCTTCTGGAACACTGTATGTCTTCATAGAGGCCAACAGCTCCATGATAGGGACAATCTCCAAGCTCAGCACTGAGATGATGTTGTAGCCCTAAAGTCGAAGGGAAGTGGGAACGGTTAACTCAAGCACCGCACGAACTAAACTAAAGCCAATCGACTGAGGGGACAGGGCATTCGCTTCTGGGCCAGTGGCTTTCAAATGGCACATTTCTGCATTTTAATTTCACTCAATTCACAAGAAAAAGGAAGTCTCAAACTGAAAACAACAACTGTTGGAGGAATAGGCCTGTGTCATATTTGTTACAAGTACATTTTGCATGGTGATATAGACATAGGAAGTAAAATCCAGGGTAAATCATGGTTTAAATCAGGAAATATATGATTAAAGAAGAGGGGAACAAGATTACTTTTCTGACCAGACCAACTTTAGATACTTGACAATTTCCAACACTTTTTAGTGGTACAGATACATTTACGTTGGTGCCAAAAAAGTGCTGAGGATCAATACCAAGCCCTGAGGCCAGTAAGCAGTATTTGTCAGCTATAAGAGCCCTGGCAACCAGAGCTCTGATATATAGAAGTTCTTAAATCAACACAAGGAGACTTACAGAGCACCAAAAAGACCAAAGCGCAGATGCATCAGGCAAAATAAAAAACCTACTAAAATATTTAGGGGGAACAGCCTGACATTAAAAACAGTGTTCAAAAGGTAAACTAACAAACAAGGATGTGATGAGCATATGCCGAACACAGGAACTCGGCAAATAAATGGATACATTCAACCTAACAGACTTTTATAGCAGTATCGGCAATGGGGATGTATTCTGAATCCTTTAAGTGTTGTGTGTCACGTTATTACCTGCTCATGAGCCTCCTCTGTAGGAGCTCTCGGGTCTAATTAGCTAACTTAACTCCTCTGTGTTGGGAGACCGCAACTTTATTATTCTGCCAATATTGTTGCGATCCCAAATGGGTAAAACAGAGGTGATGGATTACTATTAATACCCCTTTAAAATCAGGAACTAAAGCTAGATCAGGTGTTCATGTACATTTTATGAGTATAAAGGGTAATAATTAGCCTACTCTTGTGTGAATACTAAGCGTATGTCCGAAAGCGAGAAGTCAGGGGGTCATGGGGAATAGCAGGGTACCTTCTGCATCCAAATGCGTCCCCTGCGGATAACATGCTTTAGCCTCTCCACACAGATGGTGTGCAGAGGCAGGTAGAAGGCCAGCTCTGTCTGAGGCAGGATAATGGACAAGGCACACGTGTTCTTGTCCCCCTTCAGCTCGCCGTCGAAGATGAGAGACACGATGATGACGCCCTTTTCTGCCAGGACAAAGAACTTCACATCCACAGCGCCACACTCAGCACTGCGCAGAATCTCCCCGTTCAGTGTGTGATTGGCCAGAAATGTGACGTCTCCATCACTGAGGAACATGAACTGGTCACCCTTCGGTGCCCAGATGTGGCGCACCCGCGGACCCAGGATGTTGTCCCAGTAGGCAAAGGTGGCAGCCAGCAGCGGGCATTCTCCCTCTATTGCTACCTCAGACTTTGCCACAGCAGGTGACTGCGGTGGACAGCCAGAAGACATTGTAGAGGCCTCCCAAGTGTAAGAATGAATGATAAAAAAACCTACATCATAAACACAGAAAACAACAATTGTGTTTATAGTACGAGTAAAGTGGTTCATGTCAATTCTTTTTTTAAATAAACCAAAAAAATCCCAAAAAGTAGAATCTACTTCAATTCTAAAGGCCTCTAATGCAACCCAGGTGATCAGAAAGAGAACAAGAAATCTAATAAAGCTCTAAGTGGAAATGAAAGTGATGTGTTGGGATGTTGAGTAGGTCAGCTGATCCTTGCTAGAGCCATCCGAAGGTAACTTCTCTTTTTGACACACAGGAAATCCAGATGTTTTCACCAAATTCCTTTCAAAGCATGTGGCAATTGCATGCTCATTGGCAACATATACACCTTTGCCGCTCATTATAGCTCTCTACGTTGGGTGTTTGACCATTACATAGACAGTGAAAAGGCGTATCGAGACATAGCGTTATATTTAATGCTAAATAAGACATTCAACTGCTGACGTTCATACCACATTGGTTATATGTGTGCCGAATTTACCAGCAACTCCTGTTCGTTTAAGGTGTGTAGCTATTGTGTCGCCAGGTCGCTGTGTATATCCGCAGAAAGCAGTGCAGCTTTATATCGACAGCTTCTTCAACCGAGTTTGGTGTTTGATACAGACACAGAGCAGAGCGTCAACAGGCTGCCTCCTCAGGTTCACGTATTGTAAAATGAAGCTACAGTCTAGATGGGTGGTTAGCATGTCTAGCCTAATGGAAGTATCGGTAAGAAGTGATGAATGAAACATATAAATATGAAATTATAATCAGTCAATACTTGGTAGTAGGCTAACTCAGGCTAGCTCGCTATGTAGCGTTATCCAAACTAACACAGACCCAGCATAGGAATGACATCGCTATAACTTACCTGTTCGCTCTTTTTGGAGCTAAACTTTCTAGAGAAAGAGTGTCAAGTGTCGCTGTATTTGTTCTGTTATGGCCATAGTAACACGCCGATGACTGCTGATTAGCCAGCTGCAGTTGTGTTGTCTTCAAGACACTTCCTAGTACGTCAGCCCTACGTCACCACTGATGGAGCTGCACAGCGCCCTCTAGCGCGCGAGGCCTGGCAGTGGTCAGTGATGTCATTTTTATTCCACCTGCAGAAAATGAGTGAGTTATTTAAACTCCTTTACAGAGAGCCTGCCCAAACAGAGGGACGTGTATGCGGGCAGGGCACTGTTTGCCTTTGAGTTTCATTTTCTGGGGGATTGTGAGTCCAAATGGCAACCCCACTTCAGTCCTGGAGACCCAATAACAGCTTTTGTTCTTTTTTCCCATTCAGTCATACTACTGTAAATTGCATCTCCCAAGAATAGCCTTCCTGGCTGCAGTTTTCCCCCAGGGGAACCGTAGCTGTGTCAAATTATGTTACCATGACTGTGTTATTTTCCTTATTATTATAAAGCTTAAAAATAATCCAAAACACACTTAGTCCTCGTTTACCTTCAGAATGGGCTCATCAATGCCAGGAAAATTAGGGGTTCCCTTCTGTCACACAGAGAGCATGTCAAAAGAGGCAATGGATGAAAGTGTGTGCAGTAAGAAGTATTGCACTAACCCTCTCCCATCACAAGAATTTGGTTAAATTAGAGACCACAAATTCTGTTCTCAGTGCTGTATATTCACCTACACACTGTATACACTTGAGCTTACACCTAATTCACAATATTGTTCCTAATGGCCTCAGTAAGACGCTAATGGGAGGGCTGCCGCTGTTGGCTCTAAATGGCTCATCAGCAGTTCAGAGACTGAACAGTCATCCCTAATAATAACACAATTACACAGGGAGTCGGTATACTCAGAGTGTACTCTGTGCCGCCATCTAACACATTTTTCTGTAATCATAGGAAATATGCTTATTCTTTTTCCTGCTTGGCAACTTCACACTGATGCACATAGGACCACAATAAAACCACAAATTGCAGTTTTTATGCTTCAGTTTTTGCACAGATTAAACAAACAACTTTTTACCTGACAGTTAGTGAGCTTTAGAGGTGCTTTAGAGGATTTTCTTTCCTTCAGAGAGAGCCATAGCCGTTTCCCCCTGTTTTCAGTCTTTATGCTAAGCTAAGCTAACTAGCTTCTGGTTTTAGCTTTATATTTAAGGGACAAACATGCCATTGGTTTCAATCTTCTCATACAACTATTAGCAATGAAGATGGCAGGCTTATTTTACAAATTGTTAAATTATTGCTTTAAATCATTTTTTGCCTTTAATTGGTGGAGTACGAACATGATTTTGCAGCGACTGTCCTTCAGCTGAACTGCTGCTGTCTGTGAATGTTTAGGACATACAAGAACTCGCTCTAAATAATACGGAACATTCTTAGACACATTCATACTCTTTGCCCAACATTTTCTGTGTCCTAGAGCTCCATTGCCAGCCCTCCTCTTGATGACTGAACTCCTATGAGCCACATGAAGAACAAGGCACTAAATGCCCTTTCTTTTCTTCAGAGCTCTGCGACAGCAAATTTGGACAATGTGTGGACACTCAGCCAGCAAGTCAGCTGAAAAAAGTTGGCCTGGGTTTCAAGGTCACTGGACATCAACAGCCACTCCAAATTGCGTAGCTCCTGGCTGCCCTACTGATGTGATTGCACTCTGTGAACAGCATCGCAGCCTTACTACTGCAACAGAGGTAAGAGGATTCCTACTTCTTTACATTTTTCAGAAGTGAAAGGGTAAATATTTTCAAAAATGGCCAATGACATATTTGTAGAACCGTTTTTAATATGAAGGCCACATGTCTTCTGGTAATTAACTCTTGGTTTATTGTCTATAAATAGAAGGTGATATTAATATGTCTTCTATTATCTCTGCCCCGATGAAGACCCTGTGAGGTCGAAAGTGGTCTTCATTTTTAACCATAATCATGCCCGATTAAAAGGATTTTAATGGACCTCATCAGCTTGCTTTACATAAAGGCGCCTCAGGATCTTTTCCTTTCCTGTTATAATTCTTTTCATCTTCAAAAGCACCTTAAGGTTCCTGGATCTCAACTCACGAGAAAGATTGAGCGCTAGGCTTTTTGTATCTCTTTGGAATCTTCACAAATGCCATTTTGAGAACACATACCTCCATTGTTTGGGTCAAGCACATTTTTTTATTTATTTTGGGTTAATCCTCTCTTATTACCACTTGCCGGCCACCTACTGTGTAAGTATATTGATGTGAACGTGATGACAGGGCGGCAAAAAATACACTACATATTAGATTTACCTTTTCAGGCACTTTGTGGCCACAGACCACTACAAAGATGCAATCAGACTTTCTAACCACCCACAGTCAGAACAGATCTGACCAATAAACTACTTACTGGCAGCATTAGCACACTGTAATGGTGTTACTTTGTTCCTTGCAGGTTTTCTTGCACCAGGACCAAGGCTTAGACAATCATGTATGTCGCCCACTGTGTCTCTAAGTACCACTTTCGGAGGTCTGTTACTTCCCACTTGCTTTAGTAAGCACTAACTCCAGTCTTATATTCACACATTTGGCTGAGATCTTTACATATAATATGTAGATGTACAACAAGAACTCTGTGCCTACACATTATCTTGTTAGGGAATGTAGGGATGTTTCCATTTCTTAAAGATCCCCTCCAGAAATGTGTCTTCTTATAACAATAATGTGTGCCTGATGTGTTTTTTCTCCAGAAAGACGGTAGAATTTCCATTTAAATCCTTAAAAAAGGCATCTACTCTTCAACCTCATTAAAAAAGTCCAGAATCTATGAATATGCAAATTTTGTTCATTTCTAAACTTTCCCTGCTGGACACAAGATATCTCCTACTATTCTCAGTGTATGTGCACTGGCTAATAACTAGTTCCTGCAGGCTGCACTTTGAGGACCGTATTCGTAGGACCCTGGTTTTATTGTGACAGCCCTACCTAGCCAACTACTACTTTCTATTATAGTTTTAAAGGTTGATTCCACCGTAATAGTAGTTTATCCAAAGACCAATATAGCATATAGAGTTGCATGCTGGGCAATTTGTGTGATTATTATACTCAGGTCAAATAAATATGCAATCACATGCTATGCCTTTGAAATCACTAGATCTCAACCAGATATTTGAAAGGCCGGAGAAAGACAAAACAAGCATGACTCTGATTGGG